TGCTAAAATATTTAAGCCTAAAGTCAAGAAAACTTTTACTTAGAAAAAATTTGTTCCTTTTCTATTAACTCACCCCCATATATTATTTTATATACCAAAAAAAATCTCTTTTGCTAAGCTAATTTTTAAATTCTGGAGCTGGCAGAAAAGAGCTAATATATACCCCACTCTCCTCCTACTCTTGACACCTCTCTACCCTCTTTATACCTCTTTTACTCTCTCTATACCTTCTCTATACCCCTTTGCCTCTTTTACCTCCAAAAGAGAAGGTAAAAGAGGCAAAGGGATATAGAGGAGGTATAGAGAAGGTAAAAGGGGATATAAAAGAGGTAGGAAGGTGTCAATAGTAGGAGAAGAGGGTGGATATATATTAGCTCTTTTCTGTTAGCTTCTTTAAATTAATTTAAATAATATTACTGTATTTTTTTTTAGGAATATTATATTCATAACACCGTGTTATTATAACACCCTATATATTTTTTATTTGAGTTAGATTAGGGTTAGGGTGCAGCTTTAATATATATAGGAGTTTTTTTATATAATATAATATATACTAGATATAAGGTTCCGATTTTAGTTCTCATGAGGTTTTCATGAGTCCTGAGCATTTTTACTTAAAATACCTGATTCTGTTTATTTAATACATTTTTGAGATATAGCATAGAGTTAGTATAGGGTGTTATATAACACAGTGTTATGAATATAACTTTTCTTTTTTTTATTATTATCTTTTAAACTATAAAGCAATTCCAGGCAAATTTGCCTAAAAAATTGTTATAAATTTGCTTATAATCTACCTTTTTTTTGTTAATAATATATATATATATATATTTTGGTAACCTGTACTGAAGATTGGCTAGGTTTTGTTAATACTCCACTTTACAGAACTACCTGACTGTTTACATCAGACTTTAGGCTGGCTTTCTCTACAGGATGCCTAACCTAGTTACTTCACTGATTATTTGCTACAATACCCCACATATGGTGTTCGCATTTAAAGATATCATATATCTCAGGCTTTAGCTATCCCATTGCTAGAGTATATGTTCCACACATGTATTCACCCAGACTTTAGTAACTTTATGCTATAGCTTGACCCATACACTTGGGGTCAGGGCTAACCATTAAACCCCTACAACTAACTAGTATCAATTGTGCTACTGTTATTAAATTACAGCAAATCTAGTATATACATTTCTATATATTCTGGGTCCTTCCCCCCATGGTGTTACAGTTTCCAGGCTGCTGTAACCTGATCCATATCTTAAGCCACAACTTTTCTAATTAGCTATCTATTACCTACTTTCACCTTTATTAGGTTTATAACAACCCTAGTACCCACAATTGGACTATCTTCTTATCTAGATTTTTTATTGGTCCCTCTCTTGCTTTCAGTCAGCAACTTGGAAGAGTCGGTTTGCTCAGACTTTAGATATCTGAAGGACGTCTCCCTTGGTACATACTTTCGAAGCATATGTCCTTTTCTTCTGGTGTGACAGAACCTGGTGGTTTGGCTAGTGTGTCCTCCGCCATTAGGACCTGGTCATTCAGTTTTCCAATCTCAGACCCCGGTTCGAATTCAGCCCTCTTGTGATACCATCAAAAATCACTATTATTTCCTAACTTGAGACTTCCCAAATGGGTTTTCGGTTATGCCAGTTTCTCAGATTTATTGTATCATTTCTCCCATTACTAGATAGTATGACTGAAGTTACAGATTAGATCCAACCAATATGCATAGCCATTAACCAAACACAAGCCTATTTTTCAAATATCATCACCAGTGAGATTCGAACTCTAGACCTGCTACTTGGAGAGATGATGACTAGACTACTACACTAAGTTACCACACATCTTTTGTTAATAATATAAAGCTATTATATATATAATATAATGATATAATATAAAAAAGACTAAAACTCTTTTCAATAATCATTTGGACCAAAATTTCCCACCAAACAAAAACAAAAATTTTGTTGGAGAGGAGAAGACCTGCTTATGGAATGGTTTATGTAAAGGTCAACTTGCTTCTATAGAGGACTTCTTTACATATTTGGCGTGCAAACTAGAAGCATTAGGAAACAAGATAACTGGCAGAAGTTGGCGCCCTTGGTTCGGAAAGAAGATGCTTATAAGAAGTTGGGGCCTTTTTATCGATGAAGTAATCCATAATGAGAATAAAAGGAGAACAACAAATAAGTTTTTATAATAACACTTCTTGAAAATTTGGAGACATTTTTTGAATAACATACACCTGGCTTGGTTCAAAAGAAGTCTTAATATAAGATATGGGAAAAGAAACCTATTATAGGCATGGCACTTGTAGTTTAGATGTAGTTCTCATATGCTACCTGCTAACAAGCTCAGAGTTTATTACTCACCAAAAAGACTAAGTACTATGCAGGCTTGGATAGACATTTCTTTGGTGTTTCTTCTTGGTTTTTTTATCTTCTTCTTGCTTTTGTCATTCTCTTCAAAATTTT